CTATGTAAAATCACATACTTTGAAATGATGCAAAATTTAGTATACCATACAATTGAAAGTTTTTCGCCTATTATTAAATAAAATAATAAAAAATAGCAAATAATTATCAAAAATTATTCATTAAATTAAAAAATTATAAATAAGCTTTCGGATATGTTGGTATACGCAAAAATAATATTAAGATTGTTCCAACCCGCTTTTCTGACAAAACTGCTGGAACAGCATTTTCAAGAGTGGGGTACCCCCCCCCCTCACACACACACACACATTTTGAGAGAGTTGAATTCGTCAAAAAAAAAATCTTTTTATTCCCAAAAAGTTTATTTTAATACCTGATATCGTAAGCTAAAATACACTACCTCACAATAATGTAAGACACATTTTCGTTTTGAACATTTTTTTAAATTTTTCAAGAAACACTTAGAAGATTATTTCAAAACTTTAGAGGTAATTAATTCATGCGATTTTTGATACTCAGCAATAAAGCTTAAACCTTTCAGATGTTTCAAGGACCGACAATAAATTACAAAAGAAAAGAAGTATTTTTGAACATCCTATGCCAGAAAATCAAACAATAAGCTGGTAACTTGCTTGGTTATTATTTGCAACAACTAGATAAAAAAAATTTAAACCTAATTTAAATATTAAGGGAGTTAATGGACAATTTTTATAAAAAAATTACTTTTTTTGTTTTACGTTTTCGTGCTCTAAATTTGAAAATATTTATTTAAATTAAACAAAAATATTGGAAGAATTGAAAATTTAATAACAAAATTATTGGCTTAAAATTTTAAAAACAATTGTTAAAAACTNCCATTCCTTATATACCCCTCTCTTACACTCTTGTCATTGTAACGGACTACCAGCATCATCTAGTGGTTTCCTGTAATTTGCATATTCTTCTTCAGGATGTGTGTGATAATTCTACAGGTGAAATTTTAATTTTAGAGTTTGATTTCCGTGTGATTCTGAACTATCCTTAATTTATGGACATGAGTGTAGTTCTTTAATATTGCGCAAGAGCGAAAAAATTTTTTAAAAAAATCTTAATTTTCTTATCTTAATTTTCTAATCTTAATCTTAAAAAAATCGTATTCGGAAACTGATGAAAAAAGTCTGAATATCTAATAAATTAAAAGAGTTTCAAGCAATTTTCTAAGTAGTTCTTTTACTTCTTTAAAAATCCTCAAAGGAGTTTTCCATCCTGAATGAAATTTGTGGAAAACCCCTATCAGGGATAATTCTGATGGGGGTTTTCTACAAATTTCATTTTGTACTATATAAGACAAATGATTATACCAGACATTAATCGTCTGGACACCAAACTATGATGGTTTGAAGAAAGAAAACAGGTGAAAGAAAATGTTCATTTATGGGGGATGATCCCCACAATGCTGGAGTCACTTTTAATAAATTTTGCTTTGTTCAAAATGAAACTCTTGAAAAACACCTTATCATAACGAACTTTCTTTTAAAGAAGTAGAAAACACCTTAAAATTGCTTGAAACTCTTTAAAATTTTAAAATATTTAAATCGAAAGTTTTTCATTAGTTCCAAATACGATTCACCACAAAATTAAGATTTTTTTTTTTTTTTTTTTAAATTTTTCCACTCATGCGAAGTACAAAAGAACTACTATAAATAGTCAAATATAGCTCAATTTTTAGCGATTTTATTCCAAATTTTAAAATTATAATTTTGTAGTTATTTTTTGATTGATCAAAAAATTTTATTTAGAATATTTTTAATGTTATAGCCAAAAAAAGTAAGACCAAAAAAAAATAGTTTTGTATAAAAATTTCAATATTTCCATAAGTATTTAAGCTAGGTTTATGAAATATTTAATTGAGGCACTGTACTAGCTTAGCTGGCGTAAAGAAAAATCAGCTTTCTAGCATCTATACATGAAATATTGATGGATATATAATATTTCAGAGGCCCACTTAATGAGAACATTAAAATACTGTTAAAGTTAAAGTAATAAAATAGGAATAAAATTATGGTTGCTAAAAATCAGAAATTTATAGCATAAAAAATTATATGTGTTTTCAAACTGCGAGGGACATCTTCATCAATATAATCCTCTTTTTTTTAAAGTCATTAATACTATCTTTTTTAATGTTATATTTTTTTGTGTTATTCTTTTTTAAGTTTTCTTAACTAATGTTCTAATAGTGGAAAACTAAATTTTTTGGATTTCAATTTCTATAAAATCAAAACACGAACAAAATCTTAATTAGAATCTAGTTTAAAACTGATATATTTACAGAATTATGCCAAATAAAGGAAACTACAACTCAAAATTTTAGAACAAATTATTTCATAAAAGATGATATATTATAATTTATTAAAAACGATTAAACCGTTATAGTTTAAGTAATTAATACAAATCATGTACAGCAAAATATGAAATCTTTTGTCACTTCCTTTAGAGTGGATAGCCAAGAATAAATTATAATAGAGTCTAATTCTATTTAAATAAATGTTTGGCGTTATTTAAAGAAGAAAATCAAGTTATCTGCAACAAGACAATTTTTTTGTCACCACCGTAGATATAAAATCCCTGGTCCCTATATTAATCCCTGGTCACCCCTAAGAGCTTGTATCCGAGGCTGACCACTTCATTTGCCCCGCTTTCCTACGCCATTGAATTTTAAGCATATTTTCTATCTAAATATATATGTATATATTGTGCTTCACTTAAACCACTTTAAAAAAGCAATAGAGTGGATACTTCATGAATTTTTTTAAAGTTTTTGAAAAGAGCGAATCTCCTAAGACTGGTTTCATATTAAAATACGTGAGTCAAATTTTCTGAAAATGCTCATATTTCTAAAAAGTTTTTCATAGAATGTCTTGAAATGAGATATTTTTTTAACCATAACATGCTATTTCAACAGTCCATATTAACGAAGCAATAGACCGGACACTGTGACATATTTTTAAATTTTTTGAAAAAAAAATTGTTTAAGAGATTCACTTTTGAAAAGAAAAGCGAATCTCTTAAAACTGGTTTCATATTAAAATATGTTCGTCAAATTTTCTTAAAATGCCCATATTTGTCCAAAAGGGCTCATAGAATGTCTTTAAATGAATTTTTTTCTTCTTCCAAAACATGTTATTTTCTTTGTCCATGTTAAATGGTGAAGGCAAAAGAAATTGAGGTCTTTAAGATGGGATAGGAAAAGATGTGATATCTTTAAAATATGGCAGAGACTTACGTGTTTCATACCCCCCCCCACTCAAGAAAAGGGCACAGAGCCAGGAAACAGCTCGAATTATAAAATATTGCATATAATTATTAAGATTTGAATAGTTAATACGAAGGCTAAGTCAAGATATTTTTTAAAAACTTTAAAAAGGGAATGGAGAGAGATTGTTTATATGAATTCTTATATAGGAGAGACAAAACAAGTAATTGACTTACTTTTTGCAAAATTGTTAACTTAACCGATTACAAAAAATTTCATGAAGCTAATACAAATACTTGTCAGTTTTAAAGCATCAAAACCTGTAATAACTTAACATTTTAATAAATAATCCTGCGTCGTACTCTTAAAGCCTAAAGAAATTTATAATACATTCTAGCATGGGTAAGGGAGAAAAGTCAATTGACTGATTTATTATTGACCTATAACAGTTTCCAATTTTGAAGACTCAGTTTTGTGAAAACATAATTCGCATTTGATTGTTATTAATACCAATACAAGTCTCTTTTTAGGTGATAAGAAAATTTAGAAAGTTGACTGAATGTTTGTAATAACCAACTTCCTAAGAACTGCAGAAATTTTGAAGACTTCCAATCTATCCCTCTGCTTACGTTGTGCTCACGAGGCTGTGTGTACAGGTTTAATATTCTAGGAAGTTTTATTTTTGTTTTTTCTGTTCTAAATATTTGTGTATTCACTAAAGAGTTTTGTAATTTGTAAATTTTAAAAGGTTGTGAGCCTTGAACAAATTTAAGAAAATTAATATCAGAGCACAAATAAAGTGTATAGTTTGCCAAGTTTTGAGTGTATAAGTTTTGAGTGCATATAAAATTAAAATTTAAAACAGAGCACAAAAAGAACTAATATTGAAAAGAACTATATTTAAATTAGCTTTATAGATTTTATTTCATATTTTAAAACCCTAAATATACAATTAAAACACAATTAAACTGAATAAATCTTCTATCTCCAAAAATAAAATTACTTCTTAAATCTCAAAAATAAAATATTGATGCTTAATTTTACGTTACTTCAATCTGATTTAGACACGGGTAAAAGTTCAAACTTTTGTGATTTTTGACTAATTTTTGATTTAAATTTATTATTAGAATAAAGCTATCAAATGGATGGTTGACAGTGTAAAGCTAAGCGCAGACTGTGCTAGGGGGTTAAAATTCATCGTAAGACTCCGGTGTTACTTCTTCCAACTGATTTTTAAGCCTAAGCTTGAAAAGACGCACCATCCAATATTACTATACTTGTAGTGTTTACAATAAAACACGTTCTTTCAATCTAACTTTCAACGAAACAAACAACAAATTAATTCGGAGGACTCTACAAGCTCTCTATGATGCTACCCAAAAAATAGCAAATGGTGCTATTTTACACAAATATAGCCAAATAAGGAATTACACTCAAAACATGGCTAACCATACACTTTATTTATGCTGTGATAATAATTTTGTTAAAATTGTTTTAGGCTCACGACCTTATTAGAATTTATAAATTACAGAAAACTCTTAAGAATGGTAAAATTACACGTAAATTCAAACACAAATCACAATAATAAAACTTCCTAGAATATTAAGCCTGTTCACATATCACCTCGTAAGCATAACATAAGCGGAGAGATACGTATAAATTTCTTCCAGTTTTAGGAAGCTTTTTATTATTTACATTCAGTCACAACCATCCATAAAACACCAAAAGACAATATTTAATGACGTCAGCTGTCAAACACGATGTATTATATTTTCTACTTGCAAACGTTTGTTAAAGCATAGTGGCAACGATATTGAAGGTAAACAAAAACAGTGTTCCTAGCTCATTTCGATTTGGACTTCTCGTGGATATATAAAGTAGATATATTTCCTACACCATTCTTCTTCGATTATTTTTTTTAATATATATGTTTGCTTTTTGTCAATCGTAAACATATTTTTAAGTTTGTTAAAACCTCTATATTTGGCATATATTTAGAACCGAAATAAACCTGGCGATATACGTGGATGGACGTTATTTAGGCAAAAGGGACGTAGATTTTGTTGATTGTCTAAAGGAAGACATCGAACGCTTTTATGAAAAGTTGCTGAATAATAAGTAAATTATCATTATTTTTTGAAAATCGTAGCGTTAATTTTCTAATATTTTGTTATAAATATTTATTTTTAATTAGTTCAAGATCTTAACAAATTTTTAGGGCATGGTGTTCTCATAGTTATCACATGATCTATTCTTGCCTTATTGTAATTTTTAGTGAATCAGATGTGAACTGAAATAAAATATTATTACTTGGCCTAATTAACATTTCTCATGCTTATTTTTTGTTTCCTTAAAGAATATGCTGAACGAGTCCAGAGTTTTTATAATTTTACCAAACTTTTTTATTCTTCCAAGTTTGTAACTTGAAATCACATCTTTGTGCTATTAATATTTTTAAATATTAGTCAGAAGCATTTATCACATTCGGAAAAAAACATTTATTACAACAAGAGAAGACCTACATTCAGGGACTGAGGATTAAAACAGCTCCACTTTTTTTTTTTTTGACACACATATAAATTACTAAGAATATAAAAATTTGTATATTTATACAAATCATCCATTTTAAACTACACAAAAATTTAAGCATGAAATAGATCACTTCAATTGGGAAGTTCAAATTTTAAATTGCAAAACAGAAGACACACAGATTCAAAGACAGATAAAAGATGTTTCTTTTTTACATGTTTTTATTGTGAAGATGCATCATTTATGCCGGGCTGTTCATGACAAAATATTTTATCACAGAGCAAAAGATTACTTTAAATTTAGGTAGCTTATTATTAATTTTTTTTTTTATTGAAATTTAATACTATTAAAGCTAGATTATTCTCTAGAGGAGTACCAAGTAGTTAGTATTTGATTAATTGAATAATTTGTTGATTAAATATTCAGCATTTAGTTACTATTCAATATATTTTTTTACAGCTTAAACATAAAATTAAAATAAATTTATATCACTGTTTTTCAGCTGGATAATTTCCCAATTCCCAAGTTGAATATTTTTTTTGAGTATCTAAAAAATATTTAGAATTCTAAATCTAAACTGAAACAGGAAAGTCAAATTTTTAGAAAGATAAAAAAAATACTAAAAATCTGAATTAAACGTAGAAGAAAGCGAAATTTTGTCCCACTTTTTATGATTAAATAAGTAAAAGACACACCAAATATAACCACTTCTCTAAAGGGTACATTAGAGTTTTTTTAATTGTTAGATTATTTAGTATTAACTTATAGCAATTAATAATGCTTTTTTTTCTTTCAGATCTGTGTTAGTTTTCCCCCCTTTTCTAAGCAGATACAGATATCTTGCTCACAAAACTGTAGATGATTTTTTTTTCCCTGAACTCTGCAGTTTTTCAATAGGTGTTGAGGATTCTAGACGTACTTTGGTAGGATCAACTGACTATATTTTAAAGTATGTTTTTGATTACCTTTCATTTATATGTTTCATTCTTTAAATTTCTTATCTTGGCTCTTAATTTTTTCAAAGTTTTATATTTCTTAACTATCTTGACTTACTAACATTGTTGGTGCTAGAGCATGTAATTTTACACCAAAAAATTATAATCATTTACAGCAAAGTGATTAAAAGTATTTGTAGTGTATGATTAATAGTAAGTACTATCGTTTTATGCTGAGAGATGGCAGTCAGTGATGTTTAATTACCTTGGAAATGATATGATGTATGTTCATCAGAGGTGTATGGGATCTGTTTGATAGCAGTCGACCATTTGGTCATTTCCCTATTTTGTTTGATGTGTTATTTGTAATAAAATTAATTAATTTTCTATTACAATGGTGTTTTTTCCATGATTCAAAAATATAATTTTTATTATTTTTTATAACTTTATTAAAAATATTTTATGTATTTTTTACTTTTATTTAAAACTGATAATACACTTTGGGAGCCAGTTTTGTCCCTGGCTGAAATCATATAAATATCCTCAGAAAATGCCTGTGTATTTTCCTGTGCCCAATTTATAGTTCAAATTTACTTTGGTGTTCTATAAATATAGTCAAACAACAGAATTGTAGAGGTGAGAAAAATCCATCCTAAGTGACAATGGATTGCATAAGCTTACAATTAATAATGATTGAAGCTTGTTAGAGGTCAGGCATTGAAATGTGTATGTTAGCATTTATTACATAGAATGTTTCACCAGCTTTTTGTTAGTAATAAAAGGTTTTTTTATAATTTTTATTAAAGTTGAATTTTATTTTAAAATGGCAGGAAAAAGGTATAGTACAAATTAAAAAAATTTCATGGGAACAGTTTCTGATTTAGAGAAACAATAATAAATCTTAAAAGTGTTAGCTATGTTATCAAGGATAGAATGCGATAAAAAAAGTTTTAACTACCAGTTTTAGATGATTTAAAACTTCATATCAGGATTCGCCAAAATAGACCCAATCCAAAAAAGCTCAGCAGGTTTTTTTTCATATTGTGCCCACTTGAAAGAAATCATCTTTATACCCATAGAGTAGGTTTTTTCACATTTTATCATTTCCAATCAGTTTTCTTTGCAATTATCAAACAAAATTGTTCTTGGAAGATATCAACTTATTGGTTGATAAATTTAACTGGTTAACTTTCTTTACAAAATTGTATGAACTAAAAAAATTTCAAAATCTGATGTTTTTTCCAAAGGAAATTTAAATGAATTAAATATGTGGTAAAAATAAAGTCTCAATAATTAAAAAATTATATATTTGTAAATTATAATACATTACTTATCTGTAAAACAAATTATGTGTAGTATGCATACACATTACACTAATCCAAATAAATTATTATATAATTTATTTAAATTGTAGACCCTTCAGATTTTATTTAAATAAATCAAAAGATATGTATGCAATATTTCAAAATGATTTTGATTGTACTTTTAGACAAATAATGTTTAAATACAATTTTCAGTTAAAAAACTTTATAGTAATAAGTATTTTAAAAGATAAGACCAAATTATCCCTATTTCATTTTTAGATTTCTATTATAGACTTTACCAGTTTCTTTCTACTGGAAAATTTGCATTTTTTTTTTTTTAAAAAAAAAACCTATGTTTAAAGATAAAGTTGGAATTTTGAACTCATAATTTGGAAGAACACCATGATTTAAAATCTGACTTGAAAGTAAAATATATCTTTTTTCACTGTTTTTCATATGACAGCTGGATGAGAAAGAATATTTTCATATTTTTGATTTATTCAGTTCCAACAATGGAATCGCTTTGGGGCTGAAAAGCAAAAAAAGAAACTTTTATATTTATATATTTCAATAAAAAATAAAGATATTTTAAAATTTTAGTTTATTGAAATTTTCATGACCCTTGAGTTTAATTATATATTTTGCATTTTAACTTTTAACTAGTACTAATTTTTTTTTATTTCATGTTTTTGAATCACTTTTGTTTGCTAGTATTTAATTGGTAAAAAAAAAATTTCATTATGAAAGAAAGGTTAAATTATGTAGTGAACATATAATGAAACTATGTATTAATGGAATGTGAATGCATATTGTCAATATTGGTTATTCATGATATGATTATTCGTTCATAATTATTATTTAAATTTAATGAGCATTTTTACATGTTCAGTAAAAAATTCAGTTGTATGCTTGGAATGATTATTTATATAAATGTTTAAAATTTATTACATCTTTTCATTCATTTCAAAAATAAAAAGTTATAATGATAAAAGTTGATAACATTTTGTACATTATTAGATATAATGAATTCAAATGTTGAAAAATAAAAATGAACACTCATGCGTTACAAAAAGATGTTAATTTCATGAATGTATATTTATAATTTAAAACTAATTGCATAACATAATATGCTTTAAATTTTACATAGAATCATTTCAGTATCTACCATCATGCGATCCATTATACATTTAGAAAGCCGTGAAATGACTAAATTTGTTGTTCTCATAACCATCTCTTTTATTAATTCTTTTTTTGGTAATAATCAAGCAAAATTTTTTCAGTATATCTTATTGTAAATAAGTATACATGTATGTAGAATATATTTTTTAAAAAAACCTACTTAACCCTTGGCAAAATTTGATATTTTTCATGATAGGAAACCCACAATAGGCTAACCGTGCTTTATATGCTTGTTTTAAGTGAAAACTGAAATTTAATTATAAATCTTATTCCTTGTTATATTTTCATTTTATTTTTAGGTGCTCTTTGCCATTTAAATGCATACATGAAAAGTTAATCTATGTGTCAGAAAATGAAGGGAAAGAGATAGATTGTGTTTGTTCTGCTCGCAAGAGATTTTGTTCGACAGTTTCTGAAGAGAAAAATTTATCTTTATCAGCTAAAAATCATTATGGAATCATGGAAAATGTAAAAAATAGTTTTAAAGATACTTCTTTTGAGTCTGAATCCTCTAAAGAATTTCAAGCTACATTAAGGTAAATTTTTAAAATATAAGTATGTCCAGTGACTTACTCTTGTGACCAAAGTTTGTGATTTTTTAAAAAAAATCAAAAAAGTCAGATTTTTTTGATTTAAATCAGATTTTTTTTTATTTTTATTCAAATACACTGATAAATTAATTATTTTTACTTACTTTATTATACTTAATTATTTTTATTACTAATTACTTTTTTAATTATAATACTTTTATAATTAAAAAAAAACTTTTTAAATGTTTAATAAAAATTAAATCAAATTAGAACAATATTATAACAATATTTTAGAAGATCTAACTACCTAAAGCAATTTTTCATCATAATACATAGCTTTGAATGCTTAGTAACCATTTTGAAATAAATGCATGATTGAAATTTAAAGACTAGATGAAATAGAGAATTTAATGAATACTTTAACTATTCAAACAAAGTTTCAATTAGCAAACCATAATTTTAATTTGAAATTGTGATTTCTTTCTCTTGATTTTTAAAAAGACAAAATAAATATAACAGATTGTGTTTATAAATGCAGTCATTCATCAAAAAATAAATAAATTTTTTAACTATATATTTTTATAGTAAAACATTCATTTTTAGTCCCATATCAAAATAGCTAAGTTAAGCTGAAAAAAATTTTTAAAAATCTATGTACTCATTGGAATTTTTTTTCACGAAATTTCTTTATAAAAAATCTGTAATGAAATAGAAAGTCTGACAAAGATACTGTAAACATGCACCCTGTTACCAGTTAATATCCCTACTGCTTTAAATAGACTTTGAAAGAATTTGATGATGAAGAATGACACTATATCAGGAAAAAAATATCTGAATTTATCAGCATTTTTTCTTCTTCTATTTTTGACATATTAGGGTAATTTCTTTTTAATATAACCTCAAGCTTTAGAAATATTCATTTTCCACCAATAAAATATAATGTAGAAAAAAATCATGTTTATTAATTACTTTCTACAGCTATGCAAGTCTATATTAAGACATCATGGAATGTTTACTTTAATCTGTATTTTCAATTTCAAGTATCAAAAGATTTTTAAAACTGTAATTTCAAATGTGTTGGAATTTATCACACATCAAGAAAGAAAATAATTTTGTCAACTGAAATTAATTAATGCAGCACTTCATTTAAAATAAATTTTATAACTAAGAAAAGAAAAGAAATGTATCAATAATTTAAAACACTGTTTTTTTAACTTTTCAAATCAATATATATATAAAAAAATCAGTTGATTTAAATTAATGATTTTTTTTAAGAAATCATTTGATTTAAATCAACAAACCCTGCTTGTGACCACAAGAGAAAGTTTTTATAAATATGTCTTCTGATTTATATCAAAATATATTTTGAAGCAAGTTGATAATTATTAATGAAAAATTCTTATGTTTTACATAATAAAACACATCTAACTTTCAACAAAAGATCTTTTGTTTTTCATGGCAATAACTTTTACTTAATCACTTTTTTGCTACTCTTGTGACCACTGAGAAAGATAGCTTAAAAAAAGAAAAATTTGGAGTATAAATCCTATTAATTGCATTGGAATAAAAAAATTTTGATTAATATTAAAAAAGAAGAATTAATAAAGTTATTTGAATATAAATTAATGAATTACTATTTATTTTGTAAAGCACTTAAGTGTTACTCTTGTGAGAATTTGCCCAAAATGAATTAGAAAACTAATAAAATGTGTTTTAATAAATTTTTTTTGCAGAAAATTTTTTATATTAAGTGTAAGATTACATGTAAATTTTATAAAAACACTTGTAAGAGTCTATAAAATCATTGAAAATTTATCTTTGTGTTAGCATTTCTGTTAACAAATTTAATATCTTTTGTACCAAGCTAGGTACTAACCAGGCTCAAATTTGTAAATGCCTTTAATCTTTGTTTGGTACCAAGCATCTTGTTCAATATTCATTTAATGTGTTTGTTATAATGCCAGGAATTTTTTTTGCCATTATACGTTGCAATGACCCATTGGCCACAGTATAGATTTTCATTCTTTGCTTCTAAGCAAATTAAAGCTTATTACCATCATCATTAACCTCAGTTGTTTTAGTGCCATTTTCTATTTAAAAATTATGCTCATTGCAGGATTAATGTTGTGGATATGACTTGTATTTAATGATCGAATAATTTATGGCTTCCATAAAGTGACTTTTTTTTTCTGCTTTTACACTTTCTGTTTTCTCCCTTAGTAATGTTACATGTTAGTTTCTTATGCTGCTTTTAATTTCTTCTCCTGTCACATAAATAATGTCTACTTACATTTCTCCGTACGTATGATTTACAAATTCCGAAGCATTTATAACAATAAATTTCTTTGGCACGTGCCTCGTTCTAAACAAATCGTTTCACCACTGCACAAATTTCATCCACAGCTCCTTTTTTACGACACTTTGAAAAAATGTCCAAAAATATATTTCAATTTTTAGTGGATAAGTTGGCAAAATTGTACTTTTGTTAGAAACAAAACCAAATTTTTTTGTTCTCTAACACAGCCATCCAAAAAAATAGACACATTTTTGACAGAAAATGAGCTTTCTTAAAAATGCTTTCGTTGTGTAAAAATGCATTAATAGAAAATTTATTTTGTGTTATATTATCTGAATTTATAGCATATGAATTTACTTTGTTAACACCATACTATACGCAGGGATATGATTATTCCGCGGATTTCCGCTTTCTTTCTTTTTTTTTCTTCAGATTTTTCCGTTTTCCCCTCAAATTGCCGCGAAAAAATTTGTTTTTTTTTTTTTTTTTTTTGACAAGTTAAAATATTTTATGAGGAATCTAATTTTCCTCGGAGCGAGATTATTAAAGTCTCTCCCCCTGAAGTTTCTCTAAGAATCATTTAACTGGTTGATCTTTATACAGGGATGAAATTTTTTCACTTTTGTTTCTTTTTATAAAAAACTCTGATTCTCTAAGAGTTTCTTTTTTTTTTTTTTTTTAAATCCTAGCTTCATTTTTGTCAGCAAATTAAAAAAAATGAAAGTGAATTTCCTTTATTAGTACTTTAGAAAGAAATATTCCATCTTAATTAAGCAACTTTTCGAATAGAAATCGAAATCAAATTCTCTTCCGCATGTCTTCTTAATTTAGTTCTTCTCCAGCTTGGATCATAGCTAATTAGCTCATTAAAACCAAATCTCGCGTGCTACGTATGATTTTAGATTTAAAAAAGCATATATATATCTTTCTTTCGTTACTGTTTATTGTATTATAANAAAAACAATACAAACAAGCCTTTTAGAAATCCCAAGTTCAGACTCTGCGAATATCTCGATTCCTATTCACGCAATTTTAATATCAATCATAGATTTTCGTATTTACCTGATTTAAAAGCTACGCATTGCGATTCTTATTTACGCTAATTAAATATCGTACATTATGATTCGTATTCACGAGTTTTAAAAATCCAATATCCTGTTTTGTATTTATGCATTTTTAAAATCGCTATTTTATTATCAAACAATGATTCTCGTATTTACCTGGTTTAAAAATTTAACATTGCCATTCTTATTCAAGCGATTTAAATATCGTACATTGTGATTCTTATTTAAGAGATTTAAAAATCCAAAATCGCAATTTGTATTTACGCGCTTTTAAAACCCTATATAGCAATTCGTATTCATGCGAGCTTAAAATCCAATGTTGTGATTCCTTTTTTCAGTTGTAATATCACGGGATTTAAAAATTGCGCATCATGGTTTGTATTTTTGCATTTTTTAAATTCGATGTAAAGTTTCATATTCATGTGATTTAAAAGCCTCATATCGGGGTTTATAATCACATGGTTTATAAGTTTAAAAATCACACTTTTTTTGTCAAATGTTTGGATATATGTATTTGTATCCAAACATTTATATATATATATATATTTACATATATATATATCCTCTTTTTTACTTTCTGACTACTCTCATCCCTGCATACGGCTGTTGTAAAAACTGTAATTTGTAGATTTCTAACCAATGTGTAGATTGGATTTCATCCTGTTATAGGCAAGTAAAATTTTCTGCAAGATTACCATATAAAGATAAGCTCAAGTGATGTTAGGGATTAAAATTTGTTGTAAGACTTCCAAGTAACTGCTTGTGATTTATTTTTACGTGTTAGCTTGAAAATCCATGCCACCTAATATTATATTTGTAGTGTTTGTAGTGCTCAAGGGGGTGACCTCAAAGATGCTAATTAGTGTGTGCAAACGATATTTTAAGTCACGATACGAAATCAGACACAAAAACTTACTTTCTCAGAATAAACATTCCTTTTTTTTTCCATCCTTTTCATTTCTAACCCCCAATATATTTAGGGGGTAGCCTCAGTCCGAGAAATATGGTCTCCATAGTTTGGGCACCTTAATGTTAATTTTATTCTGCGTATTTTGCCATGCTTAAGAGCTTATAATACGAATGGGAAAATCTTGTACACAATTATAAAATTTGTTTATCCAAAGATAAATCTAAGCAAAAAATAAATTCTAGTAAATATTAACATTAGTGTTTCCAAACTTTGGAGCTCTCTACTGACCAAACACTGTGGACCATATTTTTTCTAGATTTCGGCTACACTCTATAATTTGGGAGTCAGAAATCCAAATCCATGAAAAATTTTATGTTTATTCAGATATTGAGTTCTAGAATGTGAAGGTCCGATCATTAGATCTAAAGTTATTCTGGATGAATCGTTTTTTCTTTTTTTCGCACTGTACATCAATGTTATCTATCTATGATGTCTCAGAAAAAATTTGACTCGCAGATTAAAAAAGTTATGAAATATGTCTAGAAGGATTATTGTTTTAATTAAATTTATGTGGAGATAAGAGATTTAAGCTTTATAAGCTAATTTTCAACAGGTAAAATAAGATATGCTGTTTGAGCTTTCAATATATTTAAATTAAAGTATGAAAGCTAGGGTGTATATAGTTTGATAAGTTGGCAAGCAAGGGTCTTTGCCCCTCAATTTTTCAAAAAAAAAAAAAAAAAACAAAAAAAAAAACACCAGGCATGTNAAAAAAAAAAAAAAAAAAAAAAAAAAAAAAACTTCATAAAATGATAAAAATTAAGTATGATAGAAAAAGAATAACGGGTGGTTTTTACTTCTATAAATTAGGACAGCCATCAGAAGAATGTACTTTTTGTCTCTTTATAGGTTTCAAAATTTTGGAAAGTTCTTTTATTTTGTTAAAACTATTTTTTTTTTCTCAATACATGCAGGATCTGGCAAAAAGACCTCCGGTATTCGTAGAAGGCACAATGTGAGTTATAATACGATGATAGAGGAGGCATCAATTTATGGTGGCAGACACACCATTTTTATTCATCCCAATGTTTTAGCTCAGTTTGCATCATGCGCTGGTTGCAAAGGAGTGTATTCATTGCAAGGACGCCATACCGCGGGTGAAACTTTTCGTGCAAATTTCTCTTTCACCTCCACAACTCCAAACCTAGAGTAAGCCATGTGTCAAGTACTGAAATTAAATTCTTAAACTATCCAAATAAAATTAAATTATGAGATGACAACTTAGGATTAAACATTGAAGGAGTTCTCTTTCAATAATTTGTTTGGATTTTGATTTCTCAATTTTTTTCTTTCTGCAATTGAAACTTAATGGCTTACTCTAAATTTGCCTGAACTCATTTTTTCTATATTTTAAGTTAGTTATGGAGGTGAAAAACAATTTGTGACGTAAAATTTCTCTCATGGTAATGGCATCCTCCGTGGTTCTGCAATTACTACGATGAGCATTACTCATTTGGTTAGGGCTTGGTTGTCATAGTTTTGCTCTCGATAGTAATACTATATAAGTTTTGATATCAAACTTTAGAGCAACAGGGTCTACACTAGAAAGAAAATTGCCTGGAGAATCGTAACAATGCTTTCAACAGTTTCCAAAGTATTCAACAGTTTAACATGCATTTGCTCTGGGATAATCTGATAAGAGTCTGCAAAAAATCCTGCACAAAAATTTTTACATGCACCCATGCAAAATATTGGTTACCCAAGCATTTTGTATGAAATAGAGATTGTACGATGTATGCAGATTGATGATGTATACAGATTTTGAAACTCTCAGAACTGTGTTTGCAAATATTCTTCAGAGCATCCCTCCTAGCAGTTTTGCTTTTGCCTGTTTAGGCACACTTCCACTTGTCAGATACTATTAAAAAAAAAATAAAAAAATTTCCATTACTGGATAGCACAAAAACCTGAGAAACTTTACAAGCAACCATTTCACAACCATAGAGGGATTGTGTGGTCCGTGTTTTTGAAGAAGATGGGATAACAGTAAATTTGAATCTCTACTGTGACATAATCTAGAGCTTTCTCCGACCTCAGTTAAACCAGTTTGTTTGGCTGTCATAGACCGGAAAAAGTGTTGTTCCAGCAAGAGGGAACCACAGCTCAAAATTTGCTTCGCTAGCAATTTTGGGGCACTTGTTTTTTGGGCATCTTGTCTCTTTCCAAGCCGACATGACTTGACCCCCAATGTCACTCAATTTATGACCTTGTGATTTCTTTACTTGATACTTAAAGATTCAAACTATACAAACATTGCCCCGCAATCCTACAAGTACTTAGACAAGTATCATCGAGGCAGTGGTTGCCATCCCTCTGGAAATGACACAACAAACTATGCACAACTTCTGGGAAAGGCTTCGTCAATGTGTCAACAATAGAGGACGCCGTTTATTCATCATAGTTAAGGCTGCAGACCTGCCGCAACGTGAATTTCCGGGATGATTTCCGCTAAATTGTCCTTTTTTTTTCTAAAATCCTTGAATTTCTCAATATGTTTCGATTTTTAAAAAAATGCTTGCTTAAAATTAGAATTTTTGTTTTCATTTTTTAATTTAAAGGTGTAAAATTAATTAGACATTTAGGGGAGTAAATCAATAACTAAAGAGTGAGAATGAATAGAAAAATGACCAGAAAATAGTTCAGAGATAAGAAATCCCAATCTTGTTAAGTAGTGAATGATTAGGATTACCTTCCTAAAGTCAGTAAGAATACAAAGAAATGGGAATCACAAAAAAAAAAAAATTATAAATCAAATCTTTGAGTGAGAAATTGTTATACAGGGTATTGCACAGGGCAATGAAATTTCTGCTGCCTTTGTACGTATCTAGACAAATTTTCCTGGGCTTCTTCTTGTGATTTCTTTTAGAGGGGCCTCAAGCTTTTTCAAATCATAACGCTATCCAAAAATTGGCCAAAGTGGCAATTCGATGTTTGTCGGTGCCTACAAGCAGCGTGGAAGCAGAAAGATCTTTTTCAAAGTATATAAATGTATTAAGTGATGAACGACGTAACATAAATTAGAATAATCCGACAATGTTCAATAATTTATACCAAAATTCTGTTCATTTAACTAAAGATATTAATATTGCCTGAAATTAAAAGAAATACTTTTGTTAGGGTTAGGTATTTTTTAAGCTTTTGTTTTATTATTTGCACAATTTCTGTATTTATAATCTGCGTAATTTTCCACAAATTTTGGGTCTTTTTTCCCGTGACAAACAGAAATAAAAGTATTTCTCTGTATCATTCTTTCTTTATTTATTTTTTTTTTCCTTTTCTTTTGTAACTGCATTTTGAAATACGAAACAAACTATCTTATGTCTTAAAAAAAATTTTTTTATTCATACGCAATAAGATGCATAAATAATTTTTTGTGAAACAAAAGATGAATGGTGATTAAGTTTTAAAATGTTAAATTAAGGGTCAATTCACAAGTTAATTTTCTCGAAAAAAATTATGTGCTTTTGAAATAATTAATTAAATTGCAACTTAAAGTCAAAATATACTAAATATGTATCTTTATAAAATATATGTGTTCAGAGTCTATATAAAACATTTTTATATTCATTAATATAATGAATCCTTCTTACTGTAGTTTTATTTTATGGTTTAATTTGTAATTTTGAAAACTTGTTCTTGAAGTTTTATGTTACTGCATTAATTTCAACTTTTTCTCAAAAACTACTATTAAATGTCCATATTATTGGCTCCTATTAAAAATTATGTGAAATTAACAACTAAGTTGAATTAGAAATATGAACTATATGAAATATATATTTCTGGTTTAATTTGTTCATCAATAATTAGAAATAGTTTTCTTACAATAACGTAAGGAAATAAAATTATCAATTAGGACAGTTTTGATAGCACTCCAGTAAATAATTTTAATAAATCTCTATTGAAATGTAATGATCGTCTTTGACAGTTTTGGTCATGGCAATGGGTTCTGTGTGAAGTTTTTACATAATATCTTACTAGTTTGTACTAATGAAAAGAAAAATGAGAAAATTTCTAAAATTCAAAGTAATAAAAGTTAATGGTAACAAACTCATTAAACTGATGCTGCAATTGCAATTTTGTTAACAAATGTTTTATCTGAGTAATAGTTATATTTTAAGGTTAATGGATTTTTTTATTTTCGAATTTTTTTGTTTTGATTAATTTACATCAAATGTTTTTTTATTTTTTGTTATCTACACAAATAAAAAAATTTGAGTTTAATTTTAAATTTTGATGTTTTTAGTAGAATAATATATATTAGAACACGTAAATCTAGATACTTACATTTAAATAGCCATTTTTTAACGCATCTGATTTGTATGATTTCATTGTACATACACGTATTATCACCAATCTTTTTTTAATTATTGCCATGAATTTCTCCATTTTAATTAATTTTTTTATATGGTAATGACTTGTAAAGTGTGAAAAAGGTGGACTATGAAATCTTTTCGATGTATATATTTCATGTATTGATGAGAAAAAATTTATTAGACAAAAAAAATTTCTCTCTCTTTAAATTTTATAGATGTTCTTTTTTGCATAAAAATAAGCCTTTTATTTGTTAATTTTCTATGTCAAAAAACAAAAAAATTAAGCACTAAAAAAAATTGAGAAAAAATATTTTGAATAATTTCTTCTTTCAGTAATCACATGTCTGTAATGAGGAAAAATATTATTGATCTGGCTTTCTTAATAATTTCTATGTAGCTTAATTAAGTATAAACATGTGTGTAATGTTTTAAAAAAATACTCCCCTAGAAATGTTGTTCTCAATGCTTTCTCTATTATTATATCTGAATGTATATTTTGTTTTCTTATGGAAATTATGTATCCTTGTCTAGATTAGTTAGAACATGTTTAACATTTTTTCCCTCTCTATAGAGATCGTCGGAAGAGGCCAGATAAACAACTTTATGTACCTAGAGCTCTCAGGACTAAAAAAGACTGTTCAGTTTCTGAAAATATAAAAGATGGAAGTGGTGTTTCATTAGAAAGTAGTTTTAATGATGTACCTTGTGAAGGTACTAAAACTGAAAGTGTGTCTGATATAAATCGCTGCCAATCCCTAAGAACTAAAAGAAATAGTTCAGGATGTATAAAAGAAGAACTTTGTGATGTAGAGATTAATTTTCATGATGTACTTTTTAAAGGTGTTAAAACTAAAAGTACCAAAAAAAATCAGCACTCACTTGTAAGAACTGAAAGAAAAAATTTAGTCTCTAAAAAAAATGAATTGAGTTTGGAACCTTGTGCTTCAGAAAGTATTTTTCAAGATGTACCATTTCAGGATGCTGAAAGTCAAAGCGCATCTAATGAAAATTGTAGCTCAACACTCGCAACCAAAAAAGATGGTTCAGTTTTTGTTCAAGATGAAGTTAATGACTCAGTAAACATTTCCAATGTTTCCTCTAGCGATACTGTAAATAGCTTCGAATCAACTTGTTACCCGCCAAACGACAAGAATTTGGTTCCTGAGCATATTAATGCCGTAGAAGAAGATATATGCTCTTCCAAAATGCCTAGTGAAACTTTCAACTCTTCCATATTTGTGCCTGATTTTAAAATAAATTCTGAGAATGCAAACATTATTGAAAAAGAAGATGGTATCCACTCTTTTAAAGATCAGAATAATGCTGCAAATTACAGTAAAGAAAATTTTATTTCATGTTATCAACCACTCAAAGAGAGAGATGAGGATAGCAAAATATTATCTGAATGTAAAAATAAAATCTATGAATCTGAGCCAAAAGAATTAACCGTAAAACAAGTTCTTCATGATATTTCTCCTGATATATTGCTAGTAAATGAAGAAATGAGTCAAGAGAATGGTGATATTAATCTTAACTCATATATTTCTAATACCGTTAATATTTCTGATAATAATCAGTTTTGTGATGGTGAAAGCTTTGATAATGCTAAAAAAAATTGTGATAAACCTACACCGGATGAAGATTCTTGGGAAACAATGTTTAATGATGATGGAGAATGTTTAGATCCAGAATTTGCAAAAGAGGTAAGTTTTATTGTGAAAATTGTTTTGCCTGCATGTGCTGACACGCACAAAATTCTAGAAAAGCGCTCTTAACTGACCATGAAGGAAACTTTTTTAGATGATGCAGTTCAACAATTTTGCAGTTTAAGAAACTTTAAAATGTTTAATATTGTAATGTCCAAAAGAAAGTTTTTTTCAATCATTTTTAATATAAGATGTATGTGTGTTTTTAACAATTTTCTTCTAAAATCTTTTGATTTACTAGCTTTTTTGTGCTAAATGAACAAAGCTGATTTTATCACTTGTATAATTTATTTTGAACATATTTAGTTATATTATGTACTTTATTGTCAAATTCTGATTGGGACACGAAATGATCTTTTTGACTGCAGCCATTATCTTCAAATTTCTGGATTAAATCTCGTTCATTAAGTATATTTGTTTCTGTTTTTTTTTCAGTATCCATCCATGTCGTAAAATTTAAAAATTATAGATATTTGCTGCTATATTTTTCATAAAATGATTAATTTGAATTTAAGTGACTATTTATCTGCTAAAAACAAATAAAATGTATATTTCATTTTCCTACTTATTATTAATTTAGATATCTAAAGTTAAATTTTTATTTCCTTTTTTTAATTTTAACTAAGACCATTGTAATAAAAAATATCCTCCATTGTCCATGGGGCCATTGTCCAGTAACAGCAATCGGGCACTCATGTGTTTAAAAAAATCACTATTCACTCTTTTACATATACAAAAATCACTATTCATTCTTTTCAAAACTTGTACATTTTGATCAAACAAATAGGTATTAGTTTCTTCATCAATTTCTCATCATTGTTTTTAAATATCTACATTTTAAAAGTAAATATGGATTTTCAACAGCCAATACTTTGGTAGTTCACTGAAATTAACAATCTATTTATTTCAAAATTTTAATCTTAAATAATAAAATTATGAGAATCAAATTGCTATTTTTTTTTCTCTTCCTTTTTTAAGAGTTTATTTTTTGTGTTTCTGTTGTGTTTATCTTTATGTAAATTCTTCATTATTATCTACTTAGCTTTGATTTAGATCAGTGAAATCAGATATTCTTTCTAATTCAGCAATTATCATTATCTTTTATGCAGTGTTTAGTGATAAATATTAGCTTGCTTATGAGAACCATGTGCAGTTAGATTAAAAAAGGAAAGGTTAGATTAAGAAAGATTAAAGTTTTTTAAATCTTTAATTAAAAAAAAAAATGCTATGTAAAATTGTATTGACTGTCACAAATTGTAAAGTCAATAAATGTGTGACTTTACATGATAGCAACAATATTTTTTTTTGTATACTTTCACTGTTTCTTTAATATAATACTTTAAGCCATAGTAGGTAAAGTTAAGCATGCAACTTTTTATTAGAAAATACTTATTGAAAAATTAGAAAATACTTATTATGTAATTTTAAAATAAAATTCAATAGCAGTAAATTAAAACAATAAACAGCTACAACAATAAATGTTTCTAAACCAATTTTTTTCCTTTAAGTTGTATATTTTTAAGGTTATTAAGATGTTGCCTGAATATTAACACTGTTTTAATTAAGTCATTATTAATCAATTTTTAAAAAATTTTAGTCACTTTTTTGTTGCGTTTTCTTCAATGACCTGCTCTGAGCTCTGTGATAATTTTGTGTCACTAATACAACTGTTAATATAATTCTTCATTATTTAAAGTATCAATTATCAGGAAATTTTATATAATTTATTCATTTCTCTTGACAAACCTATTTGTATTTTTCAGTTGTGCAAAGTTACTGGTCGTATGCAAATTCATGTGGCAAAAAATAACTACAGTGATTACACCCCAATCTCTGACACAAGTTCAAATGGTAAGCTCTTTTAAAATTATAAAAATTTTAATGCAAATTTTTTTCTTGACTTTGATGATATTATTTGTTCTGTTGCAAAACTTGGTAAATGTCTTATATATATGCTTGTGAACTTTAGCAATTGTACTGTTATGCATTTTCAAGTAAAAAAGAGGAAAAAAAAGTTTTTGCATCTTTGTTTCTGCTCTAGGAATTATTAAATTAATGTGGTATCTATAAACAAGCTAAAATAGTTAAATGCTTTCTAATTTTACAATCACTTTTTAATTTTTTAAACATGGTTCAAATACTCAAGGTAGAATAGATTGTAGTATAAAGCTGTGAATTTTAAGATTCCCCCTCCCCTGTGTTTGACGCATTGGTTGTTTTTAAAAAAAAAATTTATCATTTTCTAAAATTCAATTGGTATTAGTTTAATTTTAATATTCATTCCTTATTTGTTTTCATTTTTTTAATACTTTGTTCACTTTTCAAAAACTATACATCTTTACTTGTTTTCTAAATTAGAATTAATGTCTTTAGGTTTAAATTGCTGGAGTTACAGAAAAATTTATATATTTTTATTTCACATTAAAAAAAAATTTTTTTTTTTACTGATTTAGCAGAAATAAGATAGACCTTTTAAACCCTTCTTAATGTTAGCTATAAAAAAATTTATTAAGTTGTTGTGTGACTTAATTATAGTTGTTGTGACTTAAGAAGTTAAATAGTGCTAAATAAATAAATGTAAGAAAATAACCTGAAGATAATAGTGACAAAATAAAATCCTCCTCTGATAATGAATATTTTCTGAAAGATTGTTATCAAGGGTGTACTTTATAAATAATGTTTTCATTTAGCATTTTTAAGGAGTTCATTTGCGAAACTCATTAACATTTAATTCCAGTGGTAAATTTATATTAAATAGTCTCAAAAAGTAAAAAGTGTTTTAAGTTATGGGAAAAATCTTTATTATTAAGTAATATTTTGATTGTTTTTAGAATATGATTGCGTTGTAGAGCTGTATGCATTTCCTGTTGAGTTTAAGACACAAGATTTAGTTTCATCTCTATCCATATTTCAGTGAGTAGATTTTTTGTATCAATTTCTACAATTTTATATGAGAAAGTAACAGTCACATTATTCCAAAACTAATTACATTTAGCTATCATATTATGAATGTTGACCTTAGTATAAAAAAAAGACATTAACATTGAGACAATATGTAAATTGTTTATCTTTCAGACAAAATGCATATTCAATTAAATGGGTTGATGACTGTCATGCTTTAGCTATTTTTAACAGTCCTACTTTAGGTGAGTTGATTGTTTTCAGTTTCCAAGTATTGTAATTTCTTATTTAATTTAATTAAATTAAAACTTCTTTATATTGCTTTTTATCTTTATAAATTATTTCAAATAATAATTTGCTTTAGATCATGATCTGATTTCATAACCTCTGATATCAGAACTTTGCATTTTTACTTAGTCTATGTATTAGATATTTATTTTGGAGTATTAGATAAATTTTATAAATTTAACCTAGGATATTTGAAGCTAGGATGTGTAATCTACTCTATGAATTGAAGATGTATATTTTATTGGTTGATATCATTATTTATAGTATTATTTATCTAGTAATTTTTTAAGACTAATGAGCAGTTCCCATTTGAATCAAAACTGCAAGTACAGTGTAACGTCCCATATCCGGACGTCCCTTTCCCGGAAGGGTCGATTTCCCGGACACTTTTTAACAATCAAAATAAACAAGCATCTCTCCATCTTCCCCTTTCCTAAAAAAAAAATAAAAAGATCTTTTGACAATTTTTCTCTTTTTCTAGCTTGCACTGAACCTCTGATTTATGCATCGAACCCATAAATCACCAGAAAGGGGAAGTAAAGATCTATCAAGACCATTGAGTGACAGTTAGTGAGGTTCCTCCCTTGGAATGTAGGAAAAAGAGGGAGATTTGTTTTCAAAAGACCGCAACTGAGTCCCCTCCCCCTTCCTTTCCCATGCAGGTGGCTAGTAAAAGAGGCATTTCCTGGAACCTTTTTATTGAAAGAAGAAATACTGTGGAAAAGGGTAAACAGGGCAAGCGTTAAGGTGGGGGGGGAGTCAGAATGGAAAATTTGAATAGGTCTAAAAGGATACAC